TTGTACATGGTCCTTCGTTGCTGAATAGTCAGCCAGTGAGTAGAAGGCAGACATTCGACTCGCGCGCGAGTGTTGTGAGTGAAGTTTTTTTAGAAAACCGAACTTGCGGACGTTGGATCGACGTCGCAACCGCAAGTTCCAGGAGCCAGCCGATCGAGGCTTCGAAGAGCATCATCGGTCAGCTTCAGATTGTGTCTTCGGTGGAAGGCGCAGTCAGGTCACGGTGGGCGGTGCCTGCCTTTGGAGAAGAGGAAGTCTACAAAGTGTCGTGCTCTGAAGTATTAGAGCTAGCACTGTCATTACCACAAATATTATTATTGAATTTCATTAATTGTAATAGAATTATTACTATCATTGATGTCGTTATTATATATTTGTGTTATTAATGGCTTATGGTAACTGAAATACGAAATATTATTGTTTACATTTTAGAATTAGAATTAAAATAAACCCTTTGATTTTGCTGATCACTTTAATGTAACATATATATATATATATATATATATATATATTGTTATGAACACACAAAGGAACTAACGCCATCTAGCGTCAACTATTAAAATCACTAAAGAATAAAGACGACATAAAACCCCTTATTCAACACTAGATGGCGTTAGAGGAACATTTTAAGATAAGAAAAAGATGGCGCGTAACGGAAAAATGTTACACTAAATTTTTTTCCAACCCCGATAAAGAAGTTTCACTTCAAAAGTTTCACTTCAAAAAGAAACGACTTCAAAAAACTCTATTAGCACTAAAAAGTTTAAAATAATACTGAATTTAATATAATCTGATATTGAAAATCCAATCTATATAACCTAACCTAACCTAAAGCGATGACTACCGCTCATTGACATTATACACCGAAGGTTTGCAAATGCGTTGTTAACCCTTAAAAAGTGCCCCGGTTTCCTCACTTAGCTTTACCTCACGGCGGTATCCCCGTACGAACCTCCCCATTTTTGTAACAGCAGGCGAAGCGTGGTTATCGGTAGCGTCTCTGATGTTGCGAGTGTCCATGGGTCGTGGTGATCACATACCACCAGGAGACTAATTTGCTACTGTTTTATAAAAATAACGATAGCAATCAAAAAAAAGGCTGACCTTTTCTGCCATAAATGATTAGCTTTTCTTTGTCAAGATTTATGAAGATTTCCTGTTGACAAAAACACCAAACTGACTGCAACTGATTCTAAGATATTTCATTCGATATTAACTTGATGACAGTTAATATACATACATATCTGATATTCAACATTTTCTCATTTTTAAAATCGAATCTATGTATATTCATGTGGAAGAAATCGTGTTCAACCTGATATTTATGCGTAAGGTTTCTTCCAATAATTATGTCTTCACTGATTCGTTTTAGATCAATAATGCGTGAGTTTATTGCATTATTGGATATGGCGCGCGGGCAGCTGTCGATGTTGACTGCATATCTTTCATGTTGGCCTCGTTTGATCCATACGTAATCGTTTTTTCTTAATTAATTAACCTTAGGGTACACTGGTGACTCTACATCGGAGTACTCTGTTTCTCCATTAAAGTATTTTTTTTTTTAATTTTCGTTAACAAATCGCGGAGTGACGGAGGGCCACACAGAGATAATACATAGTTTTGCGTTGCTTGTAATATATTTTATATATATATTTTAGGACAGATTTTTAAACAACATTCTATAGTCCCAAACTAAGCAACGCCTGAACACCCAGACACTAGAGTAACACTATGTTTATCACGCAATATTTTTCTAGTTGTGGGGATCGAACCCACACCCTCTGGTGCAAGGAGGTATATAAGATATGTAGCAGGTGGTACAACCTTTTAAAGGCTGACATCGCTTCTGAAAGCTGCTGGGTGTTATTAATGTCCATTACCGTGTCTCGCATCCACATCATCCCGATACGATCAGGTGAACCGGTTCCTTGTTTGTCACCTTATCATTAATAAACCGTCCTGTTACCAACGGTAGAAAGCTTATAATTAGAATTACTCTTTTTCCACAGCCACATACCTCCTCTACTGATAGTAAAATCCCCTATTTCTACCCCACTTCGATTAAATATGACAGTTGTATAAAATTAATAAACCTTTATCTATCGACTCTTCAACTTACACCGTCAGTTTGTTATATATCTTAATCCTCGGTCGTTTCAACGGTGAGTAAAAACTCCACTTCATTGCTGATGATGTAACGCCGCGCGAATGTTATCATCTACATGATTAACTTGATTCTCGTCCTATTTCCCTCTTAAAAGAAAATATATTAATTTGCTTGATCATCGGTGTCGGCTTCTTAGGTGCTTACATCAATTATGTGTGTAAAAGAAATTTAAGTACTGTGCTGGTTAAGTATCGTTTTCACATCGCTATTTAATAAACATTTGCAATCACATAGCCCTGCTAACTCTATTCCGGTCTCAGTCCATATTGATATAAGTATGTTATGTACCCGTGCGACGAGATAGTGGATGCGGCATAGCGAGGCAGGTAAAGGCAGCTGGCAGCTGCGCGGAATGTGCACCTGCCGCATCTCGGCCTGCTGCGAGCTGTCTCTGCCGCCATCCCTCCCTCTCCCCCTCCCCCAGCGCCCTTCCGACACCTCCCCGAACCCCCCACGTGTCCCGGCGTCTTCGTACAAACGGCACATGACCCCAATTTACCCCACAATCAGAATAAGAATTTAAACAGACGGACATTTAACTCAAAGTTATGATGCGATGACATTAAGACTGTCAATGTTGCTGATAATTCTCAAGTTCGTGATTTTAAAAACTGAATTAAACTAAATTCATTATACTCTAATGATTCCTTTAATAATGCAGCATTCGGGTACTTCTTACCGTTATTGTTTATGAACTGCAAATTTCTCACTTCTCCTTTAGCTAATGTTCGTCGGAAGTTACACCAAAAAGACCATTAGGAACAGTAAGCGGTGATATCACAACAAACAATTAGAGCGGTGACCGAAATTTTCCGAATGCGCTCTTTATATCTTGAATACGAGGATAATAAATAGTCGCTTTTACCGTTTAATTAGAATAATTTTACATTAAAAAACACTTCGAAGACTTTAATTACTCTTCCGTCTGCACCAGATGGTAAGCGGGGGGACAAGATGTCTTTGAAAAAGACTTCCAACCTAATCGTATTTACGTAGTGTTGTGAGAGATTGTAGTGGAACATATCGTACATTTTAATACACTCTCGTGTTTTTTTTCACAAGCTATTGAGTAAATAGTGAGCTTCGCATGTCAACCGAACAACGATTGAAATAATTGTGTGATTATTTATATCCGCATTATAATTTTTGATATTGCCAAAATTTACCTTTCATCGTATTAGATTATCAGGCAAAATTACTTAAACGCCAATAATTTATTTGTTATTTAAGTAATGCTTTTCCAATGACGATATATAGATGACCAAGTATAAGGCTTGACTTTCGAAACTACAAGACCTATCTGTGTGTTCCTCAAGATGTTGTTAGTTACGCTAGAGGTTCAATACGTTTTTCGACCCTTCTGTGATGACCAATTGATGATCCCAAATGCTCTTTCATGATCCTCCCCAATCTTTCCACGTATTGAATCCAATATACAATAGCGGCTTCGTTTCTAAGGGGGTCTGTCCTCTTTTCTCTGAAGTCTAGAATTTTATTTATGTTACTTGACTAATAATTTATTCTAATCTTTCTGGTTTCGTGTATGTGACATCTTGTTCCTGCTTGGGACAAGCAATTTGTATGGGTCATAGGCAGTCTGTATACCGTATAGTCTTATCTTACCCACTAGGGGATCCAGGAACTCTAATTTTTGAGGCTTTCCCTATGAATGGCATCTTATCTTCATGTACGTAAAAAACGTCTAATCGTTCGCGTGCGGACATCGTACACACCAGCGAGCGAGAGTGAATAGGCTTCCACAAGCATCAGCTTTCTTTCACAAGCGTATAAGCGTTTATCACCAACGACAGCATCACCACACACCACTAGGCGGGGTAGCATTGTTGTTCCTTTTATTATTAAAAAAAAAATCGTGTCGTGTCGTCGTCGTGTCGGGCGGCAGGTGCGTCGCGTGTGCGGGTCGCATAAATAGCGCACACCTTCCCACCTCTCGCCAGTTATCTGCCGTCCGCGCGTCTCGCCGTACGCGTCTTGTGCCAACTAGTTCAGTGCCCACTCTGTGTCGTTCAGTGTCGCGCCATGATCATCTGTCTGTCTGGTTTCGTTATCGCCGGGTAGGTACTCGTGTTTGATTTCCTATACCTCTCGCCAGGTGTCTAAAGCTAGTGTACTGCACGTTCCATGTAATTAAGTGACGACCTTAAAATAAACTTTGCATTTGACTCTACTTTTGCTTTCTATCTGCAATAAGTATCTTAAGTTTAAATTCTATTCTATAAATTAAATTTTTCCATGGGAATTGAAATAAATTCATTCAATGCAAAGCAAACCGCTTTAATTGGGTGATAAAAATTTTATTATATCATTATAAACTATTTATTGTTGCAATAATATTTTGGGTTATTAAGTATTGTAGGATATTAATAAAATTAGATATATGACAACTAGTTCTTATTGATTCTGGTAATTTACTTTTATAAACTTAAAATTCTTCAACTTCAACTTTACTATCCGAGCGCTTCGGAATATTTTGAATATTTTTAATACCTTCATAAGGTTTTATTAATATTTTTAATTATTATTAACACAGTACCATGTAAATGAAATTTCTTTTAAGTTTAACGAAACATACCCGATGTTAATCTAAAATGTAAACTTAATAATTTTTGTTATCAATCTGAAATTCTTTTAACCAACTTTTGAAAGAGTGGAAACTAAAACTAAGGTGCGAAATCGATAAAAAGTTAAAGAAGGGTATGGCAGCCGCTTCTTGGTAGAAAAATGTGTACCCTCACCTAGAATAGCGTTTTCGCCAAGCTCGTCTTACCATAGCGCGACCTTTAAGATTAATCCAAACATTATCTCGTTCCAGAACTTCTCCGACATCGCTTCCTGTGACAGCGCGCACTGACGTTGTAAGTTTATCGCCTCGTTCATTGATTTATTTATATATCATTAAGTGTAAAGCTGCGGGGCGCCCGCCGTTTTCACGACGAAAGCTCTCAATGCCCAAAGTGCGAATAGATACACCTGCGACAGATTTATTGGGTGGTGTCTTCGAGATAATGATTTTATTATGGTGTGTTCGTATCAAGCATTTCGTTTAGTTCACTTATGCGACGCTCACTATTAGTGTCGATATAAAACTGTTGGAGTGAATGAAACTAATTTTACGGATTTATCGCGTTTATTTTTAATTTTAATTCCCGACGTTTCGAACCCTTTACAGCGTTCATGGTCACGGGACAGACTGAGGTGTTAGACGTCTGTTGGAGTGAATTTACCTCTTGGTAAGAGGTTAATTGACGCTCTTAAATTTCTTCTTTTATTTCGTATTATTTTTTTTATAAGAGATGGTAGTCAGAAGCAAAGATTTCTCCTGACATTACGTAGTTACCTTTGTCCTTGCATTTCGCAATTGCTGACTTTTCAATGCGTGTAAAGTGGAGTTAAAGGTGACGCAAAAATGGGCAATGCCAACTGGGGTGGTGCATTTCCAAGCTCTGCTGTGAGACGTTGTACTTCCTTGGACCTCTTTACAATGGGTTCTGGTGTGGTTCCCAGATGTCCGGCGCGACGTACGCCCCCCACCAGCAGTCGCTGCTGCAGCACTTCGCGCCCTCGCACGCCCTGATGCCCGCCCACATCGCGCACCGACGTACGTACATCGAGCAAGCAAAGTTGCAAATCCATTTGATCCATTCCATCCTTTCATACATAAAACATGACGCAACTTTCGATATTCACAAATTACAGAGCTTGTCGTTGCATACATTTCTAGTTGCTAACATTAATATATTTAAGGTGCTACTGAATTTAAACTTGGGACTAACGGCCGGTTGTATTATTCTTTTTACAGATAGATTTGGTTACTGGAGATCGATATTTGAGCTTAGTTCTATTATCGAGCTAATGGCAAATGCATATCGCTAGTAACCAAATCTCATCTGTAGGTAAAATATTGAAATAGGCCCTAATAAGGCTACTATTCTCCAGTTGATTTGATTTCTACTAGTCTGGACAGAAGTCGTCTAGTACTAGCTAGACTTAATCAGGAATAAAGAAATAACTGATTTCTACCCTAATATATGTTCATTCGAATATGTTTGTGTTGTAGCCGCGGCGGGCCGCTGCAGCAGTAGTTCCGAATCCGTGTCCAGCCACAGCGCGTCACCACCACCCCCGAGATATACGTGAGTTCACGACCCTAAATCCTAAAATTATACAGCGTGTCGTTACCATCGCGACAATAAATGAAAACACATATTGGGGATAACTTTTTAAACTTGTATTAAACATTTAAATTCTTTAAACATCAATATTTATAGAGTTATTAAATTTTACAAAACAAAGAATTTTAGAACAACCTTACCTATAAAAGCGTAACGTAAAGTTCATTTGTAAAGGTCACAAAGCATATGAATGGGTTGAATGGATTTAAAAGAGACAAAACATACTGTTAGAAGGGAGAGGCTTGTAATGCGACGCTGTGGCGCGAGTTGTATAGGTGTTACAAATTTTGTCTTTTTTTATTTAATTAGTTTGTTTGAAAAATATTTTTTTATAATTATGGATTTTGTTTAACGTAAAAATTTTTTTATGATTATTGGCAAGTAGCGTTAGACGTGTGTTCATTTATTGTCGCGATGGTAACGACACGCTGTATATTATGTAATGTTGTATCTGCGGTCGTTATTTAAGTTGGGAAACGAGCGGGCGGTTCACATGATCGCTTATGGATATGGATACACCGAGGGGTTGACAGATCTTGATTTGGAGACAATTAAAAAGTGGGCCCCGTTCACTTAACACACGAAGCGCGAAACTACAATATGCCCACTTCACGGCGGTGTTCCGCGAGCTCGTTCGCTCGCATCTGAAATGTTAACGGCGAGCGGTTGGCTTAGAGGGAGTTGCGACTTTGGCAGGCGGGTGCGCACGCTGTACGCGTGCCTGGGCGAGAGCGAGGGCGAGCTCTCGTTCGAGCCGAACCAGATCATCACGAACGTGGCGCCCTCCGGGGAGCCGGGCTGGCTGCGCGGCTCGCTCGACGGCCGCAGCGGCCTCGTGCCCGAGAACTACGTCGAGCCGCTGCCCTGAGGGACCCACCGCCCCGCCCCACCTAACTTGGCGACGAGCCCTGAGGGACCCCCGCCCCGCCCCACTTGCGACGAGCCCTGAGGGACCCCCCCAACTTGCGACGAGCCCTGAGGGACCCTCTCCCCACTTGCGACGAGCCCTGAGGGACCCCTCCCCACTTGCGACGAGCCCTGAGGGACCCCCGCCCCGCTTGCGACGAGAAATGGACCTCAACGCCAGAGCCGCTCGGCTCCCTTTGTATATTTTGTACATTGTATATAAGAGTTGTTGATGTTTTTTAACTATTTATATCGCCCTATACATACTACGTACGTACGTTGTGAATTTTGTACCAAATATACTAGACTGTAAGGGCGCAACGCGCCATGCCGATATTTGTATTATACCTTAATATATAATTTAATTATAGTACTAACTAATGACTACCGAAGGCTTTCATTTCATTTTATCCCTTATTGCTTTGAAATTTTTGATATAGTTTAATGTGTGAAAAGCTGCGAAGGCATCACCGCCGCCCTTGAAAGGACCCCGGCAACTTCACCAGCCGAAATTCCAAATTAAAATTCAATTCACATGGTCTCCGGTGAGCCATGGTATTATCCGAGATGTTGTCTACGATTGATTAAGTTAAAGGTAGTTATTAAATAATGAGCTCAACTTGAAATTCCTTCTTGTTTCAGTAATATATGTTTTAAATTCGAATCATTTAACTTACAAAAGTAAGTCAACTGTTATATCCACCATTTCGGCCCTAATCAGTGTTAAAACAAATGTTCATAAAATTCATATTTTTAGCCTGTATCATTTGAAGATTCGAATAACCGTACCTATTAATTGAATATTCACAGCATAGTACAACCACTGCTTTGATTGATGCCGTGACAACTCGCGTACTATTATACTCACGCTCATCCTTTTAGTTTTTATTACTCGCGTGCTTTGAATTTATAATAATTACTTTGCTATTGCTTCGAACTAACAGCTATTACATGGTTTGCCAGTTGCCTTACTAGCCGCTTTCATAACGTTGAACTACTTAACATATACGAGTCAATTTTAAGATACAATTGTCGAGAGAGTTGTTCCACAGGGATCAGTTTTCGGGCCTATTTTGTTAATTTTTATTTATATAAAACTAGCTGCTGCCCGCGACTGCGTCTGCATAGAATAGGCTGAAGGCGTAAAATTCAGACAGAAAGATAGATATACATGAAATATCGATATAAATTATAGCCTATGTCTTATTCTGATGAATAAGCTATATGTGCAAAGATTAGCACTATAAACAATTTAAATTTCTAAAAAAGCAATGGCGACATCTCTCGTTCGAATTATCGTTGTAAAAACGATATTCGAAATTGTTTGTATGCTGGAAAGGATATAACAATAGATGGCGCCAAGCATTGCTTCAAATGCTAAGAAAACAATGTAGAAGAATACGTTAAGATTTTCGTCGGTGTGGCAATCAGCCATTTAGCTCAGTGGCTAGAGCGTCAGGCCGCGAATGCCGAAGACGTGGGTTCGATTCCCACAACGGCGACAATCTTTTCGCACTTTTTCTACATAATATTTTAATGTTCAATCTTAAGTGCAAAGATTAGCACTATAAACAATTTAAATTTCTAAAAAAGCAATGGCGACATCTCTCGTTCGAATTATCGTTGTAAAAACTATATTCGAAATTGTCTGTATGCTGGAAAGGATATAACAATAGATGGCGCCAAGCATTGCTTCAAATGCTAAGAAAACAATGTAGAAGAATACGTTAAGATTTTCGTCGGTGTGGCAATCAGCCATTTAGCTCAGTGGCTAGAGCGTCAGGCCGCGAATGCCGAAGACGTGGGTTCGATTCCCACAACGGCGACAATCTTTTCGCACTTTTTCTACATAATATTTTAATAAGCTATATGTTATTGTAAAGTTTCATTAAAATCCATTCAGTAGTATTTGCGCGAAAGAGTAACAAACATCCATCCATACATACAAACTTTCGCGTTTATAATATAAGTAAGGATTATTGTAAGTTGCACAGAGTCCAAAAAAAGAGTTGAGTAAAAATAGTAATTATGCAAAGTGCAGACTTTTTGATGTTTAAAAATAAAACAAAATTTTTAATGAGATTTTTGGAGATTTATTTATTTAAAAGCACATCAGCAGTACATACATTCCTTCCACGATTAAATAAAAGGATATACATATCAACAAAATCTTTTAGAAAATAATTATAGCGGATATACCAAAAGCCCTTTTATTGTAGATCGAATTAAAGTAAATGATAAAATAAAGACTTTAGGACGTAAAATAACGCAGTCTGTAACGTGACCTGTGGTTGTAAAATGTTCGTAACGTCAGGAATTAAAAATTTGCTTATTATTATTATAAGTCTGTATTCATTTTATTATTGAGTACTTGGCGGACCCGGCGGTTTTTTTTTTGGTAAATCATGGATTTTGGAAATAAAAAATATAAAAAATAAAGAAAATGATCTGGTATAGAAAAAAAAGTAAAAAAAATAAATGTGTAAATGATCGTGATACGAACCGTAGCCGTCTGTTTTGGGGCCGCCCGATTACCGACCAAGCTATTATAATTTTTTTTTGTGGCGAAATTTACTGTCATATTTAAATGATATTTTTAAAAGGACATTTTCTAAAAGTGAAACCAGGCTAGACCCCCTGAATATTTTCGCACAATCTACGCACATACTAAATTTCATGAAAATCGCTGGAACTGTTTCCGAGATTTTTTTTTTATTATTGAATATCAATGATATACCTATCTTGGGCTCCGGAGTTACTTAGGAAACTCCTGAAAATCTTATCCTTTAAACGAGCAATTCTTGTATATAAAAGTAAAGTAAAGTAACAGCCTATACATGTCCCACTGCTGGACAAAGGCCTCCTCTATACAGAGGGTATCAGGGCATAGCGGGCGGCCACCACGCGGCCCAACTGCGGATTGGTGGACTTCACATATCTTCGAAACATATATTTTTTTGTTATTATTTCGAAAATATGCAGGTTTCTAATATGCAGTGTTGACATTAAGTAGTCCATTTCGAGCACCGTCCAGTTCCGCGGTCAATTGAAAGGTAAGGGCAGATTTAATTTAATTTGTTTACATAAAAAGCGAATTAACTTCATTGTGCCTTGACACCAAATTTTACCAGTACCTAAATTTCGTACTAGGTAAAGTATCATCAGTATAATCGTTTATTGTAATAAAAACATACTTTTTTTTTTTCAGAAAATTGCCATTCTATTCCCTAAAAAACAGAACGTGTTGACAATGATACTTAAATATTTAAATTCTCTCGTAATTAATTAATTAGATTCATTTGAATTTATCTCAAAAAGTGCGTGAATTATAGGTAACTCATTTATTTTACGCGTGATCATTCATAATCAACACGCACACAAGTTCGTTTCAAAAGTATACGACGCCGTGCCGGCACAGGTTGTCTTCGATTTATCGCGAGCGCTTAGTTTTGTTTGTGTGCGTGCACAGTAAAATTTAGGTATTTATGAATGACTACCGCACTGTCAACACGTTCTGTTTATTAGGTATTAGAATGGCAATTTTTTTGAAAAAAAAACCAGTTTGTTTTTATTACAATAAACCATTATATTATCGAGTCTGAACCTCCTGTGTGAATTTGGGCACCTTTAGAAAAGCCACCCTGTATAGTACAAAATATTATTGTGTTTATTATTAACTTTACATATCTGATTCGCATAAATAAAAGTATTTAGTACGATACTTTACCTAGTAAGAAAAGAAACGAAATTTAGGTACTGGTAAAATTAGGTGTCGAGCCACAATGAAGTTAATTCGCTTTTTATGTAACCAAATTAAATAAAATAAAATTTCTATAACAGATGTTTTGTACAGTTATAATTCGACCACAGATTACAAAATAAAAAATATTATCGGTGTAGTTTGCGGTCTACCACGATGGCGCTTGACGCGCGGGGATATGCCCGAATTAAATAAAACTCGATTTTTCTTTATTCATACTTAAACAGTATTGAAAGCATAGAGGTGGGTCAAACTGACAGCACCTTTCGTTCTCAGCTGAAAGGGCACTTCCGCACCTCAATCAAAATTTGAAGAAATTGCGGGTAACAGCCCTGACGCATAACATTAAAAATTTGTCTATCCTACCTAAACGGAGGATGAAAGTACCTCGGGGTCTTAAATCAGTAATAACATAACACATTGTATTAGAAAAAAAACTTGAGCCCTGTTTGATCCAGGGGCTTACGACGTCTTCACAGCACACAATAAAACCATGACGTCTGTAAAAACCCTTTATTCTGTATAATAAAAAAAATTTTTTTTTTTTTTTTTGGGCTGGATGAGCCACTGTTGGCCTTAGGGGCCTTTACAGATCCGACGGACTTGAGGTGGCCTGGCGCACGAGGCGCCTAGCCTGAACCTCGGCGTACTATTATTACGCGTTATGGTGACTAAGCTCGAGGGCTCCCGGGGGAGCCTCGGCTCGGGCCGTCACGCTATTATTGTTACCGGTTTGGGAGGCCGCCAAGCTCTTAGGGCGCTTTGGCGGGCGCTCCATGGAGTGATCAGGCTCAAGGGTCCCCGAGAGGGGACCTCGGCTTGGGCGGTCACTCAGCACGCGTTTAGCATTCCGATTCGAGGGTGCCCGAGAGGGCCGGACCTCGGCTCGATCGGTAGCTATTATCTGACTGGGGGAGTTACTAGAGCTAACATTACTACCACTTCGGAGAGCGTTGGCGCTGGGAGAAGTGGCGGAAGAAACTCCAGCAACGCTTCTATCATTAATAGGGGAAAACCTACCAGGTACGTGGCGGAACCTAGTATATGTTTGCCGCACTCGCCGGCGAGTGCGGTGTGTGTTGGTGTGTTTCTTGAGTTTTTTTGATCTTTTCGATGGCGATAGTCGTCTCATCGTCAGGGAAGTCGAGAACGTGACGCGGTCTTCGGTAATCGCGGCGGAAAATATTTAGCGGCAAGGGCCTGTAGGTGACGGCACCTACGATAAGTGAGTTGGGATGCGCGGCGGCGGAATCGAAATATCGGCGCGACGCCAACTTCAGGAATTGCGCGATGGTGGAATAAAAAAAATAAAATCTGTCTGAGGTCATTAATACACAAAAAAATCTCAACATCGCGATTTACATATTACCGCTCTACTAATAGCGCCATCTAGCGAAATTGGCGCGAACATACCGCCCACCAAGGGCAAATTTATTTTGTCCGCCACCGCCGATACCGCCCACCATAAGGGCCGGTAAAATAAAAAGGTTATAACTAAAAACAAACAATAAATACATTTAAATTTAACTTATTTACTGTGTCACAGGAAGTATGCAAAGCTTGGATGTAGGTCTTTTTATAATTGAATTTTGTGTTCGAAATGTTATTACGCGAGTGATATTATCGGTTCCCGGATGTTTAGCAATGACACGTCCAAGGAGCTATCTACTTGGAGGTAAATCTTTATCCCTTACTAAAACAACCTTGTTTATATTACGTTCCAAGGTTTGATAAGTCCATTTGTATCGATGAAAAAATTTAGTCAAATACTTTTGTGACCATCTTCGCCAAAAACTTTGCATAATTTTTTGCGTAAATTGCCACCTACGCAAACTAGATACATTAGAGGATTCATAATTATCATCCGGAACTGTGACCAGAGGCTCGCCGATTAAGAAATGCCCCGGTGTTAATACATCAATAGCATCTAATTCACTATCTATCCGTGATAATGGTCTCGAATTTAAACATGCCTCTATCTGAATTAAAAACTGTGGTTAATTTTTCATGTGTCAAAGTAGATTCTCCAATAACCCTCCTCAAATGATATTTTATTAACTTTACTCCGGCTTCCCATAACCCGCCAAAATGAGGTGCATTAGGCGGAATAAAGTGCCATGTTGTACCATTATTCGCCAGTACATCTCTTATTTCGTTGACCATAGTTGAGTACTCCGAATTAAACATATTCTGGAGTTCACGCGAAGCTCCCACAAAATTAGTTGCATTATCACTCCAAATATCTGAACAAATACCTCTTCGCCCACGCGTAATAAACCATTGCCATCAATAAATGGATTAAGTGAACGAAGACAACCCCTTAAGTTACAGTTGGTTTTTTAACTTAAGTATTTCATCTTTAAAATTTTCCTGTTGACACATTTCTATGCACACATCTAATGAATCATTTAACTTCTTACTTGACAAATTGAGATTATAAGTTTTTTCAACTTTCCTTTTTTCTTATATTTAAAAAACCGGCGACAATATGCAATAACCCTAACTAATTTAGTTAAAGATGAAAATCTGTTTAAGATTGATTCATCTCTTGAAATAAAATGTACTATTTTCTTTTCCATTTTTGTTTCTCTTATAATCGTTTTAGGATATGGTATAAGTTTTTCAGAAAGAAATTCCGGACCACAAAGCCATAGATTATGATTTACTAAATTTGATTTACTAAGTTTCATGCCCCTTGATGCACAGTCCGCTGGATTCTTCTTAGATGACACGTGATGCCAGTGGTTAGATTCTAATGTTGTTAGTATTTCCGAAATTCTATTGGCTACGAAAGTTTGCCAAAACCTTGGATGACTATTGATCCATGGAAGCACTATGGATGAGTCTGTCCAAGCATGCATGTCTGACTTGTCAACTTTCATAACCTCTCCAACTTCTACAAACAGTCTTGCTAAAAGAACAGCGCCGCAAAGTTCCAGCCGTGGTATGGAAACCTGTTTAATAGGCGCCACCTTCGTCTTTGCAGTGACTAGAGAGACGTGAATATTTCCATTACTTTTAATTACACGTATGTAAACGACTGCTGCGTATGCAAATTGAGAAGCATCTCTGATACCGTGAAGTTCTAATGTATCTGCAGATAGACAAATAGGATAACTTCTCCATTTAATTAATAAATGTCTTAAATGTAGTTGTAAACTTGGTCCGTCCATCAAATAATCATTTAATGAGACATCAGTTTGACCCTTGCAATAAGCATCATAAACGAGTCTCAGCTTCGTAGTGAATTTGTCATTTCTTATTACACAATGATGAGGTAAGTACACGGAATTATTCTTTTTTAATACATTATATGGAACTTTTTCCATATGACCCATTTTCAAATATTCATTGATTACCTTTGTGTATTTCTCTTTCAGGTCTTCATTTCTTTTTAATTTTCGATGCAAAGAATTTAATCGCTTTTCCGCTATATCTCTTGAATCTACAGAATTGTTATTATTAAAATCTTTTTTAAATGGAAGACGTACAATGTAACGCCCTTCTGTGTCCCTTTTAGTAGTTTCAGCAAAAAACTTTTCACAAAAGGTTTCCTCTTCTGTCATGAGGTGCTCGATTGGTTTTGGATCAGCTTCGATTTCCCAAAACCTCTTTATCAACTCATTTTCTTTTATGGAAGTGTGCACTACCACAACATTATCCTTGGATTGAGATGAATCGCTGACCCTCCCTGAAAGGATCCACCCAAGAGATGTAGCTTGAGCTACTGGATAACCTAAAGGACCCTTTCTTACTCAGTCTTTAAGTATCTGACCATAGACATCTGCTCCCAGTAGAATGTCTATCTTGTTTGGAGTATGATATTCAGGGTCTGCTAAACATATTCCATCCAAGTCAACCCAGTCCATGTAAGATAACCGTTGAGTTGGTAAAAATGATGTAATCGATTTAAGCACATATGCCTGTACAATAAATGTGATTTTTGAATCAAATCTAGAATTCATTTTTATTTTCACCATAGATTTTACCGAAACACTCTTACTTCCTTCTAACCCCGAAATACACCCGTGCACTGGCAACTTTTTAACACCTAAGTATTGGACGGTAGCTTCCGTAATAAATGATGCCTGCGAGCCTTGATCTAGTAATGCCCTAATAATCTTTTTACCTCTCTGTGCTGTTTCTGCTTTCACCAATGCAGTAGCTAATAGCACTTGATTGTTTACACTTGTAGTAACAACTTGATTTGAGCCGGGTGCACTAGAAGTTGGTTTATTTTCTTCCCGAACAATGCACTCATCAGACCTTGAAACGTTCTCTTTGAAATTACTTGAACTTTCAACATTTGTACCTACGGGATGAAGTAATGTATGATGTTTACGTCTACATATGTGACATGAAAATTTAATTCTACAAAACTTAGCCGAGTGATTGTTACCCAAACATAAAAAACAAATCTTATTCTGTTCTACAAAACTACGTCGAGAGTTTACATCCTGACTTGCAAACTTCTTACAGTTATATATCTTATGATTTTCATTACAATATTGACATGAAATTGATTGAGAATTATGAAATACTTTCGGTTTAGATAAAGTTACAACAGACTTAGTATTTCTATAGGCTAAAACTTTCGGTCCGGGTTCCAAAAACTCAAGAGCTCTATACCGATTTGTTATAAACTCTTTAAATTGTGTATATGTAGGTAAATTCGTCAGAAGAATTAATATTTGTAACATTTAGCTCCCACTGTTTTCTGGACTCGGGATCAAGCTTGAAAGTTAAAATATGAATCACAATAATATCCCATGTACTGATATCTACCCCAATATTTGTAAGAGCGTTTAAACAGTCGTTTGATGTATTTATTAATTCTCTCAACATACTTGCCGATTCCGTTACAATATTCTTTTGACTCATAAAACGCTTTAAAATATTATTCGATAAAAACTTTTTGTTACTATAACGCGATTGTAATAATTCCCAACTCCTTAAATAGTCACAGTCTGTAATCGGAATGTGTCTAAGCAATTGTTCCGCTTCACCTGTTAAACTACTTTTCAAATAATGAAGCTTCTGAACGTTACTTAAACTATTATTATCATGAATTAACGAAACAAATAAATCTTTGAAAGTAGTCTGGTAAATAACCAGAAAACATTGGAATCGTTATCTTAGGTAACTTTATTTGTGTGGATCTACATGTAGAATACGATTCATTAGAGCCATTACCGCAATTATTTTTAAACTTAGCTAAAAGCGATCATTAAATCACTCTTATATTCTACATACAATTGTTCAACAACATCATAAATATCATCCTTTACATAACAAGATGCATTTAGTTCCTTACTGTTCGAAATTTGAATAACATTAGAATGATTATCATTAAATTCAGACCACAATTTTTCTAAATTACTCAATCTTGTTTGTACATATTTTTCAGACAATCTTTCTTTAGGACATTTCTTATAATTTTTAACCGCCTTTTCAATTCTAGATAAAATGTCCTCTTGTAATTTAATTAAAGCCTCCATTTTATAAAAAAAAAAAAAACAAAACTGATACAATAAAAAACATAAGTTTTAATACAAATAAAATGTTTATAGTAAAACAGATAAAATTATTACCTACTCACAGACAAGAAAAAATAAACAAGTTTTTTTTTTTTTTTTTTTAATACAATGAAAATGTTTAATGTTATTAATCCCACAAAAATTCCTACTTTAAATTTTATTTAAATATTTTTTTTACTGCTATTTATAAATTGAAATTTATTTTGAAAATTTTTCTAAGTGTTTGAGTTTAAAATTTCTGGGGCAAATCCGGCATCCCCGTCTCAATCACTTTTCTTATAAACGAACCATGTCTACAACTAATTGCTAAATTCTAATTTTAAAGACTATGTCTTGTCTTCCCGTTTGAGATTTTCTTAAATTTCAGAAGTCCACTACTAATATGTATTATTGTACTCACAGTTTCACTTCACAATATTAACCTGCCGTCTTTGTAGACCGCAACCTGCGCTCGCAGCTCCAACTGCTTACCGCACCTCTTCTCTCTTTCGCACTCAGCAACAAGCTACCACCCCTTCCACTTCGGTGGACGCCTCCTACGCACCGCCTTGTTCCGCCGTCTTCTCGCATGCGCCACCACAACCTCCAGGCTTCTATAGCGCTTGGTCACCTTCCAAACTCTTGAGGTTGGAAGATTGTTAACTGGCAGTAAATCACTACTGCTCAGTAAAACGATGCACTAGAAGTGGGCGATACAAATCGTATCAGATATGAAAACTAGATATTAGTACAATATCCCAATATCGCTTACTGGCTCGTTCAATATCTATGTATTTTACACTAACTGATATTTCCGAAATCTGATGTACCGTGCTCGCTCGCTATACCGACACGAATCGCGATACGGCGATATCATACGCGTTTGCCACAATATCTGATTTTTAAACAGATTTCGAGAGACAAAGCTCGTGAGATACAAATACTCACTAGTTAGAGCGGGACGGCAAGCAATGCACGATATCAGATATCGAGCGACAAAGCGCGTGAGATATAAACACTTACTAGTTAGAGTGGGACGGCAAGCAATGCACGATATCAGATATCGAGCGACAAAGCGCGTGAGATATAAACACTTACTAGTTAGAGTGGGACGGCAAGCAATGCACGATATCAGATATTGAGCGACAAAGCGCGTGAGATATAAATACTTACTAGTTAGAGTGGGACGGCAAGCAATGCACGATATCAGATATCGAGCGACAAAGCGCGTGAGATATAAACACTTACTAGTTAGAGTGGGACGGCAAGCAATGCACGATATCAGATTTTTAAACAGATATTATGAATAAGTTAAGTAATTTTGAATCTTAACACCATGCAAATAAGATCCGTTTCATTTAAATACTAATCTTGGTATCAGCGATTACTACAACGATATTATTATATTTTTATTGTTTTGTTTAGCCTTGAGCCGTAACCGTAACGGGCGACAAAGCGCGCAGTTAAGTAATTTTGAATCTTAACAGCATGGAGAAAAACTCTGTTGCATTTAAATACGAATTACGGTATTAACGATGTCTTTAAATTTTGTTTAACCTTGAGCTGGATTGCATTGGTACTATGCACGTAATAGTAAGGGATGCCAACTTACTACTTAAGAATTTTCTGCCTAAATTAAGGAAGAAAAATATACAATGGAAATTTTTTGTGAATATTTTTATTAGCTAAATTTTATTCATATTTTTGGAAAAAAATAAAAGTACACAAAAAGAAAAATATTATTTAATAGTGCTGTGCTGCTTTGGTGGAAATCAGACCAAGGCTTATGTGCCTTGTGTGTATTTTTTAAATTCTTCCGCCCTAAGCTATAATACTGAATGTATTATTTCTTACACAAATAATAAAAATATTGCCACTCGATTGCGTGTTCTAAAAATATGTTAAAGTCAATTATTAAGCGGTATATAAGATGTTAAAATAAATCATTTTTATATTACTTCAATTTATATTTTTAATGAAATTTTTAATTTAATAATTTAAAAAAACGCATTTTTAGTAAGACAGGGTTAATTATTAATGATCGTCGAACAAGAGTTTCGACGAATAAAGTCAGAGAGCTTACGTTCCTAAACGTGAATTTGAACCCGGAGGGATATAAACAATTATTAACCCTGACATAATCGTAAATATATAATGTTAAGTTTTAAATATAAGGAAAATTATGTACATAGAATGAATCAACTTTTAAATACGCCTGCACAATTTTATATTTATAATATGTATGAAATATTGCAGCCAGTCCTAAGCCTGGAAAAAGTATGAAGGGAAGTTATTTCATTCATCTTATATCCACTCCCTTAAAGTACACAAATTTTTTTTTTTTTTTTTTTAGAATTCAATTTATCGACGTGGATAGGGAACCGTAAAATATCTAGATATTAAAATACATAGTTTCGAAATCTGATATTTGAAATCGATATCGGATTCAGATACGGTACTCAGAAAAAGCGATACGACCCATCCCTACGATGCACACATCGAAGAGCGACAACACCACTTCCACTGCGCTGGTCAACAACACTTACTGCTCTTGAATCACTTTAATTCAAATCCGGCTCGAATGACCAATTTGTTTGATCCAGGGGCTTAACGACGTCTTCACAGCACACAATAAATCAATAAAACCATGACGTCTGTAAAAACCCTTTATTCTGGATAATAAAAAATAAAATCTGTCTGAGGTCATTAATACACAAAAAATCTCAACATCGCGATTTACATATTACCGCTCTACTAATAGCGCCATCTAGCGAAATTGGCGCGAACAAGGCCCAATATACGATCCTTGTGGAACCCCAAAGAGAATCAGACTGATCAAGTTAAATTTATACGCCTCGTATATTCAGTACGATAAGGCTCTCGCCCAGAGGTGAGAACAGTAGAAGTACTGAACACACATGAAGATGTGGGGCCACATTTTGCGTCTTATACATATTTAGAATCTGAGCTGATGTGAAGTACTCTCTTGCCTTGCTGAGCACACCAAGCTTCTTTTAGGCCAATCTGGCCTTACCTTTCAATTGACCGCGGAACTGGACGGTGATCGAAATGTCGGAATACTTAATGTCAACACTGACGAATGCAGATGGCAAAAATAAAACAAATTAAATTGACGTTTTCTTTTATTCAATCCCAATCCAATACGATAAGCGAGAAGGAACTACTGACTGGAGTTCTGGTCGCACCGCAAGTTTGTCTAGCCGCAAATGGCGGAATGATATTTGCGATGTGCCCGAACTGTGCGGGTAACAACTACAACGTAAACATTAAACATTTAATACGCAAGTAACATTATAAGCCACTTTATTATTTCACGATTATTTATCGGCACCAAAGTAACGTAAGCACATTTATACATTTATCTCGGTCCGACTCGTCGTAACGTTTCGTTCGACGCACCTGCCGAATCTTAGTCTGACAATACCCCTCGACAGTTTCATGCAGCTCGGACCTCCTCGGGACCGGTCCGGGCTTCTTCGCGGGGCTCACTCCGGCCGTCGGAGCGACGGTTTCGGGAAACGAGTTTCCCTCGTCCGTGGCGAGGCGAGCGTCCGTCTCCGTCAGATCACGCAGGACATCCGCGGCCGCGCGAGGCGATTGCGGGCGGCCGCGACCCATTAGCTGCGGTCGAGCGCGGCCTCCTCGTCGTCGCGCTCCAGCAGGCGGCGCACGCGGTTGCAGTCGGCGAGGGCGGGCCTCGCGGCCAGCGCGCCCCCCGCCCGCGGGCCGCCCTCGGCGCGCGGCCCCTCTTGTGCCGCGCCGCCCGGCGAGCCGGCCAGCAGCTCCAGCTTGCGCGACTCCGCCGTGCGAACGATGCTCAGCAGCGCCTCGTACTTGTCCTGCAGCGCCCGCTGCCGCGCCGCGTGCTCCTCCGCCGAGTGGCGCAGCGCGCGGCGCAGCTCGGCCAGCGCGGCGTCGCGCGCGCCCAGCGTCGCCTCCAGCTCGTGGGCGCGCGCCGCGGCGGCGTCGGGCGCGGCCCGCGGCGGCCTCCGCCTCCGCCTCGGCGCGGCCCAGCGCGGCCCGCAGCGCGCGCTCCTCCGCGGCCGCGCGCTCGGCCAGGGCGCCGCCCGCCTGCTGGGCCGCCGCGCGCGCCGCCTCGCCGAGCCGTGCCTCGCGCTCCGCCAGCACGAGCAGCTCGCGGCGCAGCCGGCGCACGTGGTCGGCGCGCCGCTCGGTGGCGACGGTGGCCCGCGCGAGCGCCTCCACGTGGCGCGCCGCCTCGAAGGACTCGCCGCGCGTGCGCTGCAGCTCGGCCGCGTCGAGCGCGCGCTGCGCCCGCGCCTCGTGCAGCGCCGCCTCCGCGCGCAGCCGGGCGCCGCTCTCGGCCTCGAGCGCGGCCTCGAGCTGCGCCTCGCGCTCGGGCTGCGCGCCGGCCGCGGCGGGCGGCGGCGCCTCCCTGAGCCTGGCGCGCCGCTCGTCGCGCTCCAGCTGCGCGGCGCGCAGGCGCTCGCGCAGCGCCGCGTTCTGCAGCTCGAGCGCGCGCGCCTGCCGGCAGCGGCCCAGCAGGCGGCGGTTGCGCTCGGCGTGCGCCTCCCGCCGCCACCGCTCGTACAGCAGCTGCGCGTGCGCGAGGGCGAGCTGCTCCGCCAGCTCGTTGTCGCCGCGCGGGGTGCGCCCCGCGTACAGATCGCTCAGGTACTTGTCCAGGCGCTCGCAAGGAGACACCGGTTGGGTTAAGGTGTCCGTCTCCGGCGCCGACTGGAAGTAAATTGAAGTCATGGACGGTTGCGAAGGTTTTTTTTTTTTTTATGTGAAAAGTTGCCAAACGAGCAGACGGTTCACCTGATGTTAAGTGAATACCGCCGCCCATGGACATCTGCTACACTCGAGGGTTCCAGATGTGTTGACAACCTTTTGGAAATAGGGCTCCGGCCACCTCACTCTCCCGACGAAGCGTGAAAGTATTATACTTCCACTTTACGCCGGTCTTCAATGACGCCGTGGTACTTACCCGGACGAGCCTGCCCATTCGTGCAACAGCCGAGGCCGCTGCGTGGCCCTACCACCGTTAGTAGTATTAAATTGTGAAAATATAAAAATAGAATCCATTGTCGTAGGTACAAAAATTTGTGGACTTTATTCTGATAAGCGGTAGAAGCTCCAAGAAGCACAAAACTACTTAATTCTGATTCTGCTACACAAATTAGTATAAACCGCATCTTAGAGTTGGTGTTTCCGATATACTTGTGTTAGTTTTCTGCTGACTTAACAAGTCGTCCGTTTTAGAATCCTGGAGTCATATCCGACTACCTACGTCCATAAAGGTCACGAGGCCTTCCTTGGAAGTGCCTGCCCTGTCATCTGCGTGAAATGATATTTTCTTCCGAGTTGCCTCACAAAACGTTTTAGTGTACCAATAAATATTTTTGGAGAAATATTAATGTGATTTGTCACCGGATGTCATTAATTGAGAGTTGTTTTGCTCAAACTCATTCCAAAGGTAATTTATTTTTGTAAATTTTTTCGTAGTATACTCTGGCGTTTTTCTAGCAATTGGATCTTTTCCAAAATTGATGTTTAGTCTCTCCAATGCCTCGATGATGTAGATGATCCATAGGTCGTTAGTATCCGGCTCGAAGGACCAAAAAATATGTTGGTTAAAGCATTAACCAACATATTTTTTGGTACCACCACACCTAAATGTCAATGTGAGATAGATATGTGTATGTCAATTGAATGGCGGTTAAGAATGTCAAAATAAACCAAGCGATGTGACTGAATGCTTTTACTGCACTAAAATATTTATTAAAATTATAATTACGAACTAAGGTATAAAATTAGGTCGAGGTACGAACGCTCGCAAGTGTCAATATGTCGTGTGCGCAGTTTTTTTTATACAATAGAAAATTTACGGCTTTGCCGCTCGACCATGGAAAACTGTGAAGTACCTGCTTCTTGGGCTCGTCGGGCAGGTTGCGATAGAAGTCCGCTATGACGAACTCGTAGGGCGCCGGCCACGTGTCGACCGTCTGCACGGCGGCGGAGGCGGTGCGCGCGGGCGGCAGCCGCGCCGAGCAGGAGGCGGCGCGGCGGGGCGCGAGCGGGCGCGCGCCGGCGCGGGGGCGCGGCGGGGGCGGGGCGCGGGGGCGGGGGCGGCGCGGGTCGCGGGCGCGGGGCGGCGCCGCCTCCGCGTCGGGCCACGCCTCCTCAGGGGCGCGCGCGCGCCGTCAGCTCGAGCACCTCGCGGTCCTCCACGTTGAGCGGCTCGGGGTCGGGCGCGGGCGCGGCGCGGCTGGGCTCGGGCCGCGCCACGGGCGCGCCCGCCGGCGGCGGCGCCCCGCCGAACGGCACCGGCGACTCGGCCGCGCGCCGCTCCTGCGCCACGCGCGCCAGCCGCCCGGCGAACGCGTCGCTCGGCGGCGACGTCTCCTTGCGCATGGGCGACGGCGGCTGCGAGCGCCGCCCGATGGCGCGCACCGCGCCCGACTCCGCCGGGAAGCGGAACTGCGCGCGCGTCTCCTTGGCGGGCGTGTTCTCTGGCGTCGCCTCGACGGCCGCCTCCGGGGGCTCGGCGGGGTCGGGCTCGGCCGGCAGCGGCGTGTGCGGGGCCGAGTCGGCGCCGCAGCGGTCGCCGAGCGCGAACCACGGCTCGGCGCCGGGCCGCAGCGCCGACGCCGAGCGCGCCGCGTGCGCGCCCGAGCCGGGCGCGGGCGAGGCGGGCGCGGGGGGCGCGGGGGGGGGGGGCGCGGGCGTTGGCGCGCCCGCCGACGCCGACCGCTCCTCGGTGCGGTCGCGCGTCTGCAGCGACAGCCTTCGGCTCTCGGCGACCACGTCATGGATCTCGTGGCGCGTCCACCTAGTGGTGTCCGCCTCTCGCTGGCGCGAGCCGGTGACGAGGGCGGGGTGCAGTCGCACCGAGTGCAGCAGGGGCGCCAGGCCGCGCTCCCAGCATTCGCGCGCCGGCTGGGAGGCGCACTCGCCGCGCAGAGTCTCCAGCAGCGTACAGGGATGGGTCGCGTAGAGAGCGTGGAAGAGGGCGAGCTGCGCGAGCTGGAGGTGGGCACGAGCGGCGGGCGCGGGCGGCGGCTCCAGGGCGGCGGGGCGCAGGAGCGCGTCGGCCAGGTCGGGCCAGTGGGGGGCGGCCAGGGCGGGCGCTGCGTGCAGCAGGGCGGCGAGCGTCAGCAGCGCGTGCAGCAGGGGCAGCGGCTCCCGCTCGAGGCGCGCGGCGCGCAGCAGGGCGGGCGCCAGCGGGTGCGCCGGCAGCCGGTGCAGCCAGCCGGGGCGGCGCGCCACGAGCGGCGCGATGGCGGCCAGCGCGTGGTGGCGCGCCGGGCGCTCGCCGCGCATCTGCTCGAGCAGAGCGTCGAGCAAGTGGCGCGCGTGGGGCTCGGGGGCCCGCGCCAGCAGCTCGAGAGCGCGCACGGCGCCGGTGCGCGCGTGGTAGAGCAGCAGGGCGCGCGTGAGCCACGGCTCGCGCACGGCGCCGTACAGGGCGCTGGCGGCATCGGCGGCGTCGCGCGCTTCCAGCAACTCGAACACTTCGCCGTCTTCGCACGCCGCTAGCATCTCCGATAGCCTGTGACATATCATGAAATGTAGAATATTTTGTATCAATCAATCAATCAAAAAAATCTTTATTCAAATAGACGCTTGCGCGTTCTTATGAATCGTCAAATTTTACATCAAAAATTATACATATAGGTCCGTAAGGTACCACCGGTTCGGAAAGCAGTTTCTGTTGAGAAGAGACCGGCAAGAAACTCAATAGTTGCTCAATTGTTAATTCACAGGCCCACTGAAAACCAGCGCTGTAGTCTCGTATCGACTGCGGCATTAAACTGAGTGCGGTCTGTTTGCCGTAAACGCCACACACAATTGTGTGCGTAAAATGTGTGATGTGTTTAATATTTTTTATTCCTCTTTTTTTTTCTTTTTACTATGTATTTTTAAGTTTATTTTGTGTGGCGTATTTGAGCAATAAATGTTTTCTTTCTTTCTTTCAACAGTTTTAACTCCACATATTGGCGTCGTCGAGATATTCGCAATAGTGTAATATGGTTTAACCATAAGTTGACTTTTGATTTTACATTTAAATTGCTTAAGCGGCAGACTTAATATCGACTGTGGGCGTCAGTGAACACTCACCTTGGCCTGCCTGCTCGTTTGCTAGAAAACATTGACAATAAACCACCAGTTCGGGTGTTGGATGTGCCACTGAATAAACACATATTTTTGTCTCAATGTAATATAGTAAATATGAAGTTCTGTCCAGTGAAACATTGAAATCTAAATAAAAAAGAAGGCAAGAATAATAACACTTCATCATTAATAGTTACAAATCCATTTCAATAAGTCACTTAAAGTAAATTATACATACCTACATAATTAATGATATCATGTAAAATTATTAGATATTTATAATCTAAAATAAAAACTTATTTTAATGAAATAAAAATATTACAAAATTATAAAATATATATAATTCTTCTGTCTGTGTGTATGTCACTGAACTCCTCCTAAACAGCTGGACCGATTTTAATGAAATTTTTTGGTGTCTTAAGTTTGATCCGAGAATGGTTTAGATTCACACTTCGTTTCTTTTTTAATTTGTTTATAAGTTGTTGTCAGATTTAAGTTGCATGTACAGGATAATGTATGTGTGTATGTCACTGATCATCATCATCGTCATATCAGCCGTAGGACGTCCATTGCTCAAATAGGGCCAGCTTGGCGGGTTATGGTCCATATCCCCATGATGATAGTATGTCACTGAACTCCTAAGCGGCTGGACCAATTTTAATGAAAATTTTTGTGTGTCTTCAGGTTGTTTTGAGAATGGTTTAGATTCATATTTCTTTTTTTGTTTTTTATTTTATTTATAAGTTGTTGTCGTATTTAAGTCATGTGTACAGGAAAATGTCTGTTGGGTTTGCTAGTGTAATTATCAATTGGGATAATTACATATTTTCACTATGTCATTTTATTGCAAAATGAAATATATTTAATTTTATCTCTGAAAATGAATCCTGCAATGCATGCATGCATAGCAATTGAGTTTAAAACAATCCTGTTACACTCACAAGACCAATATGGGGCATGTCCATAAAATTAATGAGCACAATAATGCCATATATTGCACCACATTTAGCTAATATTTTTAACAACTGCATAGATTCTGGAATATTTCCAGATCTTATAAAATTTAGTAAGACAATCCCCATCTTCAAAAGTGGGGATAAAAATGATCCAGGAAACTACAGACCTATCTCCATATTGCCATCTCTGAGTAAAATTTTTGAAAAACTAATTTTAAATCAGCTCTTAGTACATTTTAATATGAACAAAATTTTTCACAATGAGCAATATGGATTCACTAAAGGCAGATCGACAACAGATGCGGGTATCGCACTTGTCAAACATATTTATAACGCCTGGGAAGGGTCGCAAGATGCAATAGGTGTTTTTTGCGACCTTTCAAAAGCTTTCGACTGCGTGGATCACAAAACTCTCATTCTAAAGCTTGATTATTATGGCATTCGTGACATCGCCCTCAATCTCATTGCCTCTTACCTTAGTAATAGAATTCAAAAAGTATCTATAAATTATGTAAATTCCGAAGGGTCCCCCATGAAAATGGGTGTCCCACAAGGATCAATCTTGGGCCCATTATTATTCTTAGTATATATAAATGATCTCCCCTTTTATGCCAGTGAGTTATGTGATGTTGTACTGTTTGCTGACGACACATCGCTTATTTTTAAGGTTGACCGAAATGTATCGAATTATGACGACGTGAATAGTGCACTTTCGCGTATGGTGTTAAATGCTAAAAAAACCAAATGCCTTCTTTTTGCCCTTCCCAACGTAAGAAGGCGAAGTTTTAGCTTAAAATTGAATAGCGTAACCCTTAATCCTGTTGAGTCCGCTGTATTCTTGGGAATCACAGTAGATTCAAAGCTCCAATGGAGTCCCCATCTATCATCTCTTGCGAATAGGTTAAGCTCCGCTGTTTTTGCAATTAGGAAGGTTAGGCAGCTATCAGACATCGACACTGCCAGACTTGTTTACTACAGTTATTTTCACAGCATCTTGTCGTACGGCATTTTGTTGTGGGGTAGTGCATCTGATATAAATTCAATATTTATTATTCAAAAAAGGGCTGTCCGAGCAATTTATAACATCGGAGCCCGGAATACACTCAGAGATCTTTTTAAAGAGATTAATATATTCACTTTTGCGTCTCAATATATTTATTGTAATATTTTGTATGTTAAACAGAATATTAATAATTATCAAAAGAATGGTGACAGACATAAACTAAATACTACAAATAAGGACAAGCTAACTACGCCATTATTTCGCCTACAAAAAGTAAACAGGTCGTTCATGGGGCAAAGTGTGCGCATGTATAATAAAATCCCACAGTCGATATTAAGTCTGCCGCTTGATGAATTTAAACGAAAAATTAAAAGTAAACTTATGGCTAAAGCCTAATATACTATTGCCGAATATCTTGACGACGCCAATGTGTGGGGTTAATACTGTTGATACTCACGTAGGCTAAAACAAGACTATTGTACCTGTACTATTATATTGTAAACTGATTTTTTAAAAAAGAGCAACTGTTGAGTTTCTTGCCGGTTTCTTCTCAACAGAAACTGCTTTCCGAACCGGTGGTAACTTACGAACGTGTTAATTTCTTGTAAAATTTTGACGTTTCATAAGAACGCGCAAGCGTCTATGTGAATAAAGATATTTTTATTTTATTTATTTTTATTAAAAGTAGTGCCATAAAAATACCATCTGTTATGAGTCAATATGGCATCTAGATAAATATAAAAGAAGGTATAAAGTTGTGACGACAATGAATCATTTTGATTAATAAAAAAAGATACTATGTACTTATGTCCGTCTTAAAGAAATCATCCACACAACATAATCGTCCCTAACTAATAAATGGATGGATATTTACTGTCGTCACAATTCCTTCTCAATATCATGTAAAATGCTACTTCCTAATTTAAATGAGCCGAGGCTTACAAAGAAATAACCCGATGCACGAAAGAACTTACAGTTTTGCGAAATACTTAGTTTTTCAGATGGACTCGGGTTTAGAAATAAAAGTTACAAAAGATAAAACAGTAAAGGAAAGGTTTATTGAATGGTCCGGCTAGCCTAATAAAACTCACCAACTAGCAGCTCGGAGAGATGACCCGTCCGGTACTGATGCAGGAGGAATTTTGATGTAGGATTTATTTCGCTTTGTAAAAGAACAATAGAAAGGTACAATATTTCGCCGTAAAACGATAGTGTTATAAACTGAACCCGATCCTTTTCTTAGGGCTATGAAAAAATAATTATCGACTATCAATGTGACAAATAAAAACGATTTTCAGAAAAATGACAATGACAATCACATATGACGACATACCTATTCAACTTGCTGTCAGTTAGACTTTACAAAAAGTATTGCCAAAGTTTACCCAAAAAAAAAATTTCGAAGTGTTAATCCGTCGTTTTCATCAACGCCAATTCTTAAGGTTACAGTAGGGACAAAATTAAAGAATTCCTTACTGCATCAGTTGGAAAGAGATGTGTCTCAAACCTAGCACAGACGAAGCAATATCTGAACTATCGTCTGTACCATCTAGGCGATAGACCGATTTATTACCCGACCGTTTAAACACCTATCACTACTACGGGAGATCAGCCCTGTCATATTAAAGGACGATATCGAGGCACTGCTTAAATACGAATACCACATAATTTTATTACAGGTCGCCTGCCTGACGTCAAACCTAAATAGAAATTCTACCGAATTTCTAATTATTTTAATTATTCAACGAGAAGGCACTCCAAGATCGTAACTTGGTATGCTTTCAAAATTTTGGAGATTTGAAGCCGATGTATCTGTACATTCCAATTCCATTAACATGACTTCCGTAGATTGGGAAACAGGTGCTTTCCGGTACAGATCTAAAAGATAGCGGTATAAATTCTCGAGATCGTTTTCTATTTTCTATCATGGTTATAAACATATAATTTCCATTGCTTCAAAAACAATCGTTCAAATTTCTACGGAAGGATTTTGTTCCGAAAGTCATTTGCTCGTAATTCGTGTTTCAATACGCAAATTATCTTTAAAATTCGTTTAAATATAAAATAAAGAGAAATACAAGAATGACAAATATACAAAAAACGATTTACATAATTTTGATTATTGACTACCACAACCATTGCAAGACATTAAACGTAGTGATTACATTCTCTTTGATTGCAAGATTGCAACACCGATAATCAGTAATCAATAAGACTTAAAATTTCAACATAACCTACAAATACAAAGTTTAAGGATGATTGTATTAATTGCCTTTATAAGTTATATATAATATGTAGAGATACGTGTAAAAATTATTGCAAAAACTTAATGGAAGAAATTTAGTGATTTTATAGTCCTGGTCTGTTTTCTTCAAATATGTTAAGGGCTGTTTCTAGTATTTATGTTGAGAGTCAGGCACTCGCGATAGTCCGACGTGATGTTTTCAAATTATTTCGTAAGTGTTACACAAGATGTATGAATGTATATTTTTATAACATAAAAGTAATATTTCTTTAACAGTAGCTTCATAATTATATTAACTTTTGATTTAATTATTTAAATACCATAGTTAAATTCTTGATTTATGGTCTTATTAACTATTGTATATGTAATATTTTACACCGCTTTATTTGAACTACGCATACTTGGCGCCTTATTAAAAATAGATAAATTTAGAATCAAGATTTCTTTACAAGCCTGGAGTAATGGATGAAAACTAATAATTTTTAAATATTTATTTGTAGCTTTGAATTTTGAAACCTCTGATATTTTTAATAAGTAGTGTACTTATATCTTCTGACAAATAACCAAAACGAATATTTTAGGGCTCATTGAATTATATCCTATGATGTTTTTTTAGAATTGAAATTTCATTAATAAAAATTTAAAATTTTTAACAATTCCAATTCCAGGGTTGACTGGGAGAGGATATATAAAGGCATTAAATACAATTCTTTTCTTGCTCAGCTCTTTGTAGTACTTAGTTGAGATATTTAAATAAAGCATATATAGAAAAAATTAAATACACAAAATATAATTTTGGTTAAAAAATTCTGTGATGACATTGTAATAAAATATTCATGCTTTTATTTACGGAAACTTAGTTTTTTTAAATTTGAATTGAAAATTTTGAAGGAGATATGGGTATTTTATGTGTACCGTCAAATTTGCAATGAAGAGACCTATAAAAAGCATGGTTTAATATGTAAATTGAAATGATAATGGGCTTGTTTCCTATCTGTTATAATAGAAAACTGTTGAGATAGAAAGTTTTTGTGTAGTGACTATATAATCTTTGAAACTAACAGGTCTTGGAATATTTATGTTAGGCAGGACATGCTTTTCTATAAGTTTTAAATATAATTTCAGGCACTACGGCCTATGCTGGCATATCATCAAACCAGGTAAATCGTTTTTCTTTTAAAGCTTTACCACTGAATAAATATAACAGATGTCATTAATGTATGTTATTTTTATGCAAGCGTCCAAGGAAACTAAAACAGTATAGGACGGTAATAATATCAATATTTTATCAATTTGGAGTAATTATATCATTGCAAACATTAATCTAAGCACATTACAATGCAGACAGTTTTGGCTGAGGCAACATCACGCCAGAGCCAATTGAATGATTCAAAAGAAGAGCCAGTCAATTCTCCCCCTCCCCCGCCACCGCCCCCGCCCGGCCCGTCGACGGCGCGAAGAGGATGGCTTGCCGCCACTGCTGTCGCCCTCACTGCCTCAGTTGGAGGGGTACTGTATTTTTTTTTATGTGAAAATTTGACTCTATCATGAACAATATACTTCTTTGAATGATGCAAGTGCATATTAATATCAAACATTTAATTAGGAAAGTCATTGTAGTTGTAATCCTTACTAATATTACAAAAGCAAAAGTTTGTATGTATGGATGTTTGTTACTGGATGTCCAGCAAAAACTACTCAATGGATTCAAATGAATCTTTACTATAATAAAGCTTATACATCAGAATAAAAAATAACATGCGCTATAATTTATAAAGATATTGCCTGAATTGTTCTAAATATAACAATAATTTCAATAACAAATCATTGTTGAAATCCAAAATTCTTTATTAAAATGTAAGTAGGACAATCTATTGCAATAATTACATATGAAAAACATGTTAAAAAAAACAGTTTATTTTGACAGGTATACTTTTTAAAAAAATTGAACAACAATTCAGAGGAACCGATTCCACTAAAAGAAGGTGGTGAGTATGGACTTTTTTTTAATTAACTCCTTAATTCCACGCTTACATTATTATTTTTATAATTATTAGATTATTTACATGATAAAAGTGTCAGTCCATCATAGTTATATGATTTTTATATGATTTTTAATAGCTTTGAAGTCCATTTTAACACAAATCAAGCTTTAATTGTTTAAAAAAAAAAAAACGGATGTACAGTCAGGTTAGTCAAATAAAATTAAACTAAGAAAAATTCAAGTTGCAGATTTACCATTGTTCAACAGTAGCCTGGTATTTAAAAGTGGGAGCTTTCAATTCAGGCAAAGCGGAGATCATTGGCGAAGTAGAAGGCCCACCGATCCCGAGCAGCGCGGAGGCCCTGCCTGAGCAGGTAGACTACCTGGTGGTGGGGGCTGGTACCGCGGCGTTCGCAGCGCTGCGTACCCTTCGTAGCGTGAGGCCGGAGGCTAGCGTTCTGCTGGTGGGCGACGAGAGGGCCCTGCCCTACATGCGTCCACCCCTCAGCAAGGAGTTGTGGCGGGAGCCCGACCTCGCCAGGCGGGCTGCTGACCCGGACACATTGATCTTCCAGCAGTGGAATGGCAAAAAGCGAAGGTTCGTTGGGAGTCACTTTTTTAATCAAGTGTACATATGTCTTACGTATACTAATATTATTTTCATCTAATGAGTTTGATTCTATTTAGTTCAATGTTCAAAATGTCAAAAAGTAAGTATCAATCAGTGAGTGAAATGCTCCTTTGTTGAATGAAGATATTCTTATTGATAAAATTGGTGTTATTGTGTCTTAAATAATCGGTATTACAAACATGTATACTTATTGCAAACGTTGAAAAACAGTGGTTCTTAAGTTTAAGCACATACACATTTGCAACACTCATAGGTTTGCAGATGCCACCTTCTACTTTACGGCGGTCTTCTGTGAGGCCGTGGTACTTCCCCGGAAACACCTACCACAGTTACAGATGTAACAAAGCTAGAGTTATGTTCACAAATTGTCGTCTTTTTGCGTTGTTCAGTTCAGCTCAATTAGGTGTGGATGGAAATGTGTAGATTGGCCTACGAGCCCAGCGCGTTCTACACGCCCACGGAGAAGCTGCGCGAGGGCGCCGTGGGGGCGGGCGTGGCGCGCGGCTGGAGCGTCTCTGCCCTAGACCTGGAGCGGCGCGAGGCTACGCTGGAGGCGCCAGGCACCAGCGCCAAGGTCACCTACAAGAAGTGCCTCATCGCCACTGGTGAGACTTGCAGGAGATATGAGCTATTCTCATCGCCTTGACTCTGTGACCCAGATAGCTTAGCCAATATCATTAATAACATTCTTGATTTTATTTTTTGAAGGTAAAGTATAGTATTATTTTTTTTAGAAAATAAAGGTAAATGATATGTTGAATCATAGGCATTTTTTTAAAGGGAAATTTAGAATAATTATTTCTGATTGAAGAAAACACTTGGTCTGTGTGCGAATTAAATACTTTGTGGTTTAGCATGGTTTTATTGGAAAAGGTGCAAATGCGTTTCCAATTTTTAAAAACTCTTAACATGTGAGTGCGAAACTATAACACTTATTCGTGTAACAGATCTGCTATGTGGTTCTACCGCAGTAGCATGTGCGCTAATCGTGTCACAGAATGTATTTTAATGAACTTTACGCGTGTGTGGGTGGTTTCGGTCCTTCGAGCCGGATGCTGAAGGAGCTATGTCGTGGCAGGGGCGCGCGCCAAGCAGTGCGCCGCGCTGCGGTCAGCGCGCGCGGCGGGGCGGGCGCTGAGCGTGCGCAGCGCGCGCGACGTGGCGCGCCTGGCGGCGCTGCTGCAGAGCGCGCCGGCCGGGCCGCTGGCGCTGCTCGGCGGCGGCGCACACGCCTGCGAGCTGGCCGTCTCGCTCGCGCACGCGCGTCGGTGCCCCCTTCTACCGTCTCTTCGTCCCCCTCTGTCCGCTATCGTATCACGAAAGCTCTATCAGTCTCACTCGCGCACGCGGATCCGTGCCTTCTACCTCCTTTTCGTTCCTTCAACATTTCTCCCAAATGCTTCAGAAAAGATAGTTCTAAAAACGTCGAATCTGTAGCACGACGAGCTGGCGGTTCGCCTAGTGCTAAGTGATAAACGCCGTCCATATGGACATTTGCAACACCAGCGGGGTTGCAGCTGCAAGACTCCTGTTACTTCACCAGATGAAATGCAGAAGTGTAATACTTCCACTTCACACTGGTCTTCTGTGAGGTCATAGTACATCCCCGGACGGACCTGCCCATTCGTGCAACAACGAAAACTATTGCGCCGCCTTACAACAGTTTCCGTGAGATATTGTACTATGAATATTCAAAAAGTATGCATTATCAACTGTTAATAGAGTTTGAGATCTAATAATTTATCAGAAATCAGTTGAATCCAAAATTTCTATTCATCATTATGTTTGTTTCTGATGTCCCCTCCACCAAAAAGCCAATAAATGATGTATACCGTGAGTAGAAATAGCCTCGGATAAAACCCTGAGGAACACCCATTTATACCTTAGTGCGCGACAGCGGGCGGGAGGTGGTGCAGGTGTTCAAGGAGTCGACGCCGCTGGCCGAGCAGCTGCCGCAGTACCTGGGCGCTGACCTGGCGCGCCGCATGGCGGCCTGGGGCGTCAAGCTGCTGCCCGACAGTGAGCCTGCCGATTTGTTGCACCTTAGGCCAGGGGCTACGAGGGAAGAAGTTTTTGCACAATTTTCACCTGATGTTAAGTGGTAATTCGCTCTTGGAAACCTGCAGACGTGTTTTCCGCTTTCAATACAGCGGACCCTGGTTATCTCACTAACCAAAAGGTAGTAAAAGATTTTTATTATCATAGTGTACTCAGAGCCACCTACTCGATCGCTCCTCAGCCGAGGTGAGCGGCAGCAGCGTGCACGGGCAGCTGGTCCGGCTGGAGCGGGCGGACGGCGCGGCGCCGCTGCACGTGGCGCTGGTGGTGGAGTGCGTGGGCAGCGAGCCCAACGCAGAGCTGGCGGCCGCCGCGGGGCTCGAGGTGCACCCGCAGCTGGGCGGGGTGGTGGTCAACGCGGAGATGCAGGTGCGCAATGGAAGCTCGGAACTGGTCCCGGTTGAGTCGAATTATAGTTGGAACCTCACTACCGGGCGCCCGCTTTTAATTAAAAACGAGCATAAACATACACTTTCTGTTGAAAGCAGTTTCTGTTGAGAAGAAACCGGCAAGAAACTCAACAGTTGCTCTTTTTAAAAAAAATCGGTTTACAATATAATAGTACAGGTACAATAGTCTTGTTTTAGCCTACGTGAGTATCAACAGTATTAATCCCACACATTGCCGTCGTCAAGATATTCGGCAATAGAATAATAGGCTTTAGCCATAAGTTTACTTTTAATTTTTCGTTTAAATTCATCAAGTGGTAGACTTAATATCGACTGTAATTCAACATTGTTTGTATTAACATCAAACATTGTTGTATTTACCTGCAACGATGCCGTGTCACCTAACAAGATATATCATAATTTCCATGCATATCCTTTTATTGAGACGTGGTTTTAAATAAACAAAGGCGCGGTCGGGCGTGTGGGCGGCGGGCGACGTGGCGTGCTTCCACGAGCCGCTGCTGGGGCGGCGGCGCGAGGCGCGGCACGACCACGCCGTGGCCTCGGCCCGCGTGGCCGCAGCCAACATGGCCGGGGCCGAGGCGCCGCGCCTCTACACCCACCAGCCCATGCTCTGGACCGACCTGGGCCCGGACCTCGGCCTCGAGGTGCCTATCAACTGATTATACATTCTTCTTGACCATTCGAAACTATACTTTGGCTACCTTATTTTTATTTTTTCTATGCTAATCTATGGACTTAAGACTAAAGTTTAAAATGTATGCATAATTTGTCCAGGCTCAAATTCAAAACCTGGTAACGGGGAAATAATTTTCGAAAGTTCGTGTACAAATTTTAACCAGCTCCTATAAACAAACGGGAAAGGGTATTCCCGCGGGATCCTTCATTACTTCTACTGTTCCTCCACAGGCTATAGGCATAATAGACTCGCGGCTACCGACGGTGGCTGTGTTTTCGGCGGACGCGGTCACGGAGCCCGTAGCCGCGCACCAAGCGGCCTCTACGCAGGCCGTAGCTGAACAGCAAGTAGCTGCTACGCAACCCGCAGATGAACTGCATGCTGTGGCTACGCCGGCAGCGAGCGCTACGCAGACCGTAGCCACTCCGGCCGTAGAGGCCGGGGCGGATCCTTCGTCGCGTAGCTACGAGCGCGGCGTGGTGTTCTACCTCCGCGAGAAGCGCGTGGTGGGCGTGCTGCTGTGGAACCTCTTCAGCCGCATGCACGTGGCGCGCCAGGTGACTATAATACTGTTATGAACACACAAAGGAACTAACGCCATCTAGCGTCAACTATTAAAATCACTAAAGAACAAAGACGACATAAAACAATACAAAAGACGACATATTCAATACTAGATGGCGTTAGAGGAGTTAGTGCTTAGTGTTTGGACCTAGTGCTTTGTGTTGGACCTGGTGCTATTGAATAAAATCTTCAAAAGAATCAGCAGGTCTTTCTCTCCAAATCCTTCGAACCCCTAACACGTAACAATACTTTAGCACCTTTCACATAAGAAATGTGTACAGACGACAATCATCTCCAAAACCATGTCCAAATTCAAACATCTTTATTCGGAAGAACTATAGTAGTACAGAAGTAACTAGTATAGAAGAATTATACTCACTTATTGATTGTGAAAATTCATTCTTATTTTTATACATAATTTCAAGAATGTACTGAGAAGCAACTTTCAATATTTTGATGACTTTGAACAAATTTCTTAGTGATTCTTTAGGGCCCAAGTTTTAAACTGCTCAAATAGCTCTCAATTGCAGTATTAAGATTGTATTTATATCGGCCGCGTCATCCCAAAGTAGAATGTGGAATAAAGTGATAATTCAAAACCATAATATGCCTCATGATGCATTCCGTTTGCAGGTGTTGAAGCAGGGCGAGTTCGAGGACCTTTTCGACGTGGCCAAGTTGTTCACACCGCACGAGGACTGAGTTGCGCAGAGCACAAAGCATTTAACAAGCCCGTACATGTAAATAGTATTAATTAAAGCAATAAAACGCCACTCTGTTGTTTCAATTCACACAAAAGTCCTTTTCGCGAAATCTTTGACTATCTCATTGATGTATAAATGCCTTCATCCGATGTTCATAAGTAATTCATGTACACCTCCCTCTGCTCTCTTCTTTATGTCTCAATAGCAAATATTCTTTTCACAATGGTTGTCTGGAAGAAATCGCTTTCTGAGCGATAAGACCGCCTATTTTACTTCCTTTTATATTTATTTGTAATTTGCGTTTTTGGTGTACAATAAAGTATAAATAAATAAATACAAATAAAACTCCAATCTCTCCCATGCACAGTTTGGATTCTTTAAATACAAAACTGGAAACATGCTTTTTATGTTTTACATATTCTAATTAGATGCAAAAACTTTTGCTATTTATCTTATTTAATCATCTATGAATGTCTTTAAAAATTAAATAGATTTTCTCGGACCATTTATTAATATAAAGCCACAATAGGGAATCCATAATTATAGATAAAAATACGTATCTTTGCTTTGATAAGGCGGCATTCTAACAGGCAACAGATAAAACTATTTTATCAATTAATGTAATATGATGTACGATTTTGTAATAACATTTGCGTATAAATATCGATACGTTTCATATATTTTCAATTAGAGTCTAATTGAAATAATTTACATTTTATTTGGGATCTAGACGATATAATACCACCACAAATGTGATACGCTTAAGGCGTTTCTTTGGCTAGACTTATACCTAGGTAGCCTAGTCCTAAAAGACTTAAAGGATTCAAGTGCTGACATTGTTGACATTCCACGCAGTCGAACTAAGCGTTTTGTTTTAACATTTATTATGCGTACGTCAAAAGAACTCAACTATTTTTTTCATACCATCCAATGAGATAGCAATTACATACATTTAGGTGGACCTTTTACAAAAAAGTGTAATGTTACATATGTAGTTAACGGTTATACCATAATTACAGATCCTAATAGGCTATGTAACCGTCATTGTCGTAAGATTAAAATTCATTTCGACTGTGATCATTTTTGATTTCGCGAATATCATTCGGAATATTTAAAGAATTGGACACCTTACGTGTTTAGATATATTTTCTTGGTTTTTATTTTTTATTTTTCAAGAGAATTGATGAATTCTTTGCGCGTTTATGAATGAAATTTTACGGACGCGTCATGACACCTCGCGTCAAGGTATTGCTTATAGTATAGTCAATGATGTTTAATACAAGACTATTGTACATGTACTATTTATATTGTAAACTGACTTTTTTTAAAAAAGAGCAACTGTTGAGTTTCTTGCCGGTTTCTTCTCAACAGAAACTGCTTTCCGAACCGGTGGTAACTTACGAACGTGTTAATTTCTTGTAAAATTTTGACGTTTCATAAGAACGCGCAAGCGTCTATGTGAATAAAGATATTTTTATTATTATTATTATTAATAATAATCTAATATATAAAATTCTCGTGTCACGGTGTTTGTAATTGAACTCCTCCGAAAGGGCTCGACCGATTTTCGTGAAATTTTGTGTGCATATCGGCCAGGGTGGAGAATCGGACAACGTCTATTTTTCTTCCCCCTAAATGTTAAGGACCGTCCAACCCAAACATTTTTTTCTACCCGACAAATAATTAATATGGCAAAACAACGTTTGCCGGGTCAGCTGGTAATAATATAGATGACGTATGTCCATACTGCGCGGCGTTTAAAGTTGTTTTGCTTTACATTATTTGATATAAATTATGTAAGTGAACGTGAAATGAAATGGTTTAGAACATGATATGATACGGAGCGAGATAGCAGTCACTGCAAAAAAGGAAAGAAGAAGAGATAGCAGTCTATAAAATTGCAATCTTATTACACCAATTGTTTTAATATCAGTGCCTTAGTTTCAGCGCACTATCATCATATTTAAATCGTATCAGTATATAGGTATATAATATGATTGCTTATAGTATTATACGATAAATGTAACAATTTAGGTAGATAGAGAGAGATGGAAACGAAATTATTGGTGAATATTAAAGTAATACAATCCACAGTGATCGGTAAAACATGAAAATAACACAAAACCACGTAAGTAACACGACGCAAATATAATCCGCCAAGAGTAAACTAATTTCACTGTAATGGGTTAGTACCGAGCTAAATAAAATTAAAGCGGAACGACTGCGTCGGCTAACAGTTGCAGTTGACTTGGAAAGTTTCATATGCTTGGTGTGTTTGTTGGTTAAAGTTGAAAACGAATTTGTTTTCAACTATCGGAGGCATGCGTTTTCCGTGGCTGCAATTCTGACGGCAGCGCGGGGGCTGGCCGAGGAAAGTTTTAATTAAATCATTTGCATTGTAACACAAAATGAGTGGATTCGAGTATTTACACAATATACCTACATAATACACGCGCGTCTAAATTTTTTGTAAGGTTTTCGTACTAGACTTATGAGAATTACGCCACAAGAGGGCTGGTTCTTTTCTCGCTCAAAGATTAAGTATAAACGAGCAAAAGCTCTTCTTTTTTAGCACTACGCCGCGTGGACTAGGTTTATTATTTAACACGTAATTTAATATTTGTAATATGTTTAATTTTTAAAATATTAAATTACTTGTTTTGTTACATATTTGTCAATTAATTAACAAAATTAATTCGTTATAGAATTCGGTGACGGAGATTTTTTTTAGAATTTTTCAGATTAGGTACCATAATATAAATATACTATTATAACATGAAAATATACATCCACCTGTCTGCAGGTATTTCGGTACGAAATTTGGATTTTAATGGATAAAATTGTCTTGCGTCATAACATAAACTTAAAAAAAGTATAAATATAAACTTAAAGAAGTATTAGTAGGCGAGAAAAAAAGGTTGTTTGCAACCGATCGGTAGACCGACTTAGATCCGCTCAAATTAAGCCTTTGTGTTACGTATGACACTAAACCTGAACGAGTTTGTCTAGGGGATGAGCCGAATTTAAGATTTATTTAGACGAACTAAAGGCGTCTAAAATAAACTACACTTTTTTCTTAAACATTTTATGACACATTTTTACACAACAATCAATTCAATAACTCTAAACTAAGCAACGCGTACTAGATAACTGATGAACATATTTTTTGTAAATAAATACATATTGTAAATATATACACACCCGGACACTGGAAAAACACTATGTTCATCACACAATATTTTTCCGGTAGTACCACCACACCATATTTGGTGGTTTGTATTTGTATATGTGAGAAGATGAACCAATTTCAGTAAGTGAATCTGAAAGCGTAATGCCGATATATTACGCCTTCACATTCATTATATTCCACTTTCAACTCTAAAATTATCTCCGTCAGTGAGAATTTAAATAATTATTTTGAATATCATACACTGAGTAAACATTTCCAATTTATGGTAAGTTAATTTAAATTTTCAAGTTCAAAAAACGGGTACATCGGATCACGCTCGTACTAGATATCGTTCGTTACTTTTTCCATTTAAAATTGTTTAAAGAGCCTAATAAAGAAGAATTAATGTTTAGAATAAGCAGTGTTAACAAAATTTCAAATTGTGATAATTTTTTTAGTAAAACGATTGCTCACATAGTGTTAAAATCTACAAAATTACAATTGTGAAACAGTGTTGTGACATTTGTCTACCCACACGTGAAAATAAGATACGTAGTTGCTGATTAACCAAGACATATTTGTACAAAACAGAACATTATTTTCAAAACATAACATAGCAGACGCGTGGTGTAGTTTGAGTCCTTGTGCTTTAGAATCGTTGAGGTCAAGGTTCGGGCCCCGTCCTATACGCAACTCTTTTTGTTCATTCTTACTTTAAAATAAAGATGGTTTTATGTTCAGCTTGCAAAGAAACTGTTTTAGTAACACAAAAAAACGTATAAAATGCAGCAATGGAAAATGCGGACAACAATATCACAATGAATGTGTAGCATATGTGAATTCACCTACTTCTCGGTCGAAATGGATTTGCCCATCTTGTATAGCCAACATGCCAAAAGCAGGAGATAATAGTAATAAGCCCGTTCAATCCCAGGGCAAGACAATTGATCTATTAAGTAAGCACAATGAACCATCCTCCACCCCCCTCACCACAGCCATTTACTTTAGAGAGTATTGAGAAGCTATTAAATAAAACGCTCGATCAAAAATTTTCTGGTTATTTAGAAACCTTGGAAACAAAAATTAAAAGTGAATTATCTTCAATTATTCGCTCGGAATTCGATAAACTTATATCGGACTTTACTAAAACCACCGAATTTCTCCAAGCCGAGCAATCTGAAATGAAACTTGATATAGAGCAGATAAGAAAAAATATTAAAGATTTAGAAAACCAACTACGTACTATAAATAATGAAAGTGATTTAGCCGCCCTAAAGAGCGAATCCGCAGAAAATAACAAATTTCCACCAACATTCGACTATGAGTCCTTGGCCATAGAATTTAAAGAACGAGCTCAAAGGCAAAAAAATATTGTTATTGCGGGTATACCTGAATTACAGAACAAAAATCCAACGATAAGGCGTAAACACGACATTGATGAAGCATTTAACTTAATTAAAAGTTTTTATAAGGAATGCCCAACTCCCATTAGTGCTATGCGTTTAGGTAAATATAATGTCGACAAAACAAGATGTCTTAAGGTATGTTTTCAAGACGAAAATACAGCTATAAACATTTTACGAAATAAATCAAAACTTAAAAACAATAATGTACGCATATTTGCTGACCAAACGCCTATGCAATTAAGCTTTTTAAGAACCTACGGGAGGAGTTGCATCGCCGCAAAGAAAGCGGTGAATCTGACCTCGTAATAAAGTACATAAAGGGTTTACCAAAAATAATTAAGGTTACAAAAAACTGATACCGAGGTATTCTACTGAACAAAACTATAAGCAACAAGAAACAATAGAACTCATAACTTACCA